GGGCACCGTCTCTGGATGGGCTGTCGGGGGCACGCGAAGCTAATCCCCTGAAACCCATCCAGGGACCTGGGCCCGGCCTGCATCCCCAGGCCCGGCCTGTAATCCAGACTCGTCTTTTGAACCCCCCAAGGCCCGGAAAGAGCCCGTACAAGCCGAACGTCGCGAAACAAGACTGCATGAATTGTACAGAAGATGACGAGGGGGAGGAGGAAGAGGAGGAGCAATTGCAGCAACACGAGCAGGATGTTGAAAGACGGGCGGTCCGGTTCGCGAAACTGCCGAACTGCCCGTGGACGTTCGTCCATGGACAGGCCCTGGACAGTTACAGTGCCATCGCCGCTTGCAAGAAGCATGCACGGCGCGCGCGGTGTTTCCTGCGCCTGTCCAGACCGAAAGCTCCAAGCGCACGGTGCGGCATCAGTGCTTCCACGATGGGAGGAAGAAGGACGCGACATGTTCCCTCCTCCTCTCCCTCCTCCTCTCCCTCCTCCTTCTCCTCCTCCCCCAAACAACGAGAATTATTTTCCCAAGCGGCCCCGACGATTGTTAAAGCACACCGAATTGTACAACGTGCTATAAGTCATCCTGGATACGTTTTGGGGCAGACACTTGAAACATACACTCCGCAACAAGCAATATTACAACGTGCTACACGTCACCTGCGTGAACTCCCTCGAACAATCAAATAATAATTTCGCGACGTGCTACAAATCACCCGAACGATTTCTGGAGATACAATCACTAAAAAGACGTAACTTGTACAACGCGCTATGAATCACCCTAAGGACGTTACTCATCAGGCAGGAAGCAGCGGTCAATCAATCGAAGTCGCGATAGCAGCTTGCTCAGCGGGTGAACCCACCTTCCCCCGCCCCCCGAACATGTGATAGAAACTAGCTGAGCGAGAGAAATAGTGAAGTGGTGATAGTTGCACGATCAGCGTCTCCTGGATGCCAGAGGAGCGCCAGGCCGCTGACTTGAGAGAGGAAGTGCGTAAATTTACGTCCGCGCGTAAATGAACATTCGCAGATGTGGCAATTTCAGCAGATTCCGTACTTTTCATAGATTTCTCAGTTTGGATTATTCGTCTCCCTCAAAGAACGCCACAAAATCGCCACGCTCGCACGTAAAATTTGTGACTTCTGTAACTTCTGTAACTTTCGTAAGTTCCGTGCAATCCTTCATTTCCGTAAGTCTCGTGGATTTCTAAAACGTCGCGAATGTCGGGTTGCGCATCACCGGGAAGAAGTGTCAGAGGAGCGCCAGGACGCTGACTCGACAGAGAACGCACGTAAGTTTGATGCTTGCACGTAAATTCCGTAGATCCCGTAAATGTTGTAAATTTCGCTAATTCCATGGACGATGTAAACTCGGTCAATCCTATAGAAAAAAAAACCGAAGGTTTCGCAATTTTATAAATGTCGGACCTTCTTCTCCTGAGAAGGAACGTCAGAGGAGCGCCAGGCCGCTGAATTGACAAACAAACGCAAGTAAATTTACGCACGCACATAAATGTTGTAAATTCTGTAAAATCTATCAATATCGTATATTCCGCAAGTTCCATAAATATTGCAAATTCCGCTCATTCCGTCAAGTCCAGTTTTTTTCCGCAAAATTGATGAATGTACAAAATTTCGGACTCTGCGAGAATTGCATCATTTCCAATCCCGCGAAGCAGAATTCCAGGGACCCAGATTTTTTCCAAACCGAAATTCGACGGCATTCCCCTTCGACCGCGCTGAACAAAAGAAGAACAAGAAAACTCTGCAGAACCCAGCCGCCAAGTGGACACAGAAGCGCAGAACCCCCCCCCGGAAGAACCCAGCAATGTATACAAAGGATAAAGAGAAACATAATTTTCAAATTCGACGGCATTTCATACCCGAATACTTTGGGAAAAAACACCCAAGAGAACCCGGTTCATCCCAGCCACTGAGTAGACAGATAAACACAGAGAGACCCCGGAAGAGCCCAAACGTGCATACAAAAGTCGAAGAAAACACAACTTTCAAATTCGACGCGATTTCCCCCTTGAGCGCATTGAAAAAATACACAGAAAGAACTCACCAAAACCCAGCCACTGAGTGGACACAGAACCGCAGAGAACCCCCGGAAGAACTCAGAAATTGGTACAAGTAGTTAAAACAAAAAACCCATAATTTTCAAATTCGACGTCACGTCCTCCTTGGATCCACAGAGATAAAGAAGGCGCCCCCAGGAAAACCCTGCAGAACCAGGCCACTGAGTGGACAGAGCCACAGAAACCAAAATTTCAAATTCGACAGCATTTCCCGCTTTTGGAGACCTGGACAAAAGAGACCACCCAAGCGAACCCTGCAGAACGAAGCCACCAGATGGACACAAAGAACCACAAAGAACCCCCAGAAGAAACAAAAACAAACAAACTGTACGGAAACTGACGAAAACCAAAACTTTAAAATTCGACAGCATGTCCCCCTTTGGATACATTGACAAGAGAGAACCTCCAAGCGAACCCTGCATAACCCAGCCACTAAGTGGACAAACGACCACAGACAAACCCCGGAAAAAAAATAAAGAAATGCACAAAAAGTTGGAAAACAACTAATTTGATAATTAGACCGCATTTCCCCCTCTGGATGCCCCGGCAATGAGAACCCCTAAGCGAACCCTGCAGAACCCAGCCGCTAGGTGAACGGAAGAACCACAGATAAACCCCGGGACAGGCCAGACATGGACGAATAAAACATAATTTTGGAAATCGACAGCGGTCCCCCCCACTGAAGAAGTCCGAGAGAACCCTGCAGACCCCAGCCACTGGGTGGACAAAGAACCAGTGATAACCTCTGGAAGAACCGAGACATCTATGAAACAACAGAAAAATAGGCATTTCCAATTCGACCGGATTCCCCCCGTTGGATATATTGGCAAAAGAGAACCCCCACAAGAACCCTTTGGAACCCAGCCACTGGCTGGACAACGAACCACAGAGGCCCCCGAATAACATATAATTATACGAAAAATGAAAGCATTATCCCAACAGCCCTCTGGGCGACAAGTGGTCTAAAGGTGATATCTTTTCTTTTCCACAACCCTTCTTCCCTTCGGGGAAGGGAACCCTCCCCCCCCCTCCCTGGGAGCTTGGGGAGGGGCCGCGAAGGGTTTGAGCTTCCTTTTCCGGCCTCACGAAGATCGTGGCCCCAGAGGGGGGGGAACTGGATACGTGCACCCCCCCCCCCCCCCTCGCGTGACCGGCCGCCTCCGAGACGGCCCCAAGAGGCCCTCCAGGGATCCCAAGAGGCCCCCAAGAGAGCCCCACGAGCGCCCCGAGCGGCCCCGAGAGGCTTCCAAGAGGCACCCGAGAGGCCCCCAAGACGCTGCCAAGCGGCCCCCAAGAGGCCCAAGAAGCTGCCCCGAAACACCCAAGACGCCTTCTCGTCCTCGCCCTCCCCCTCGTTCTCCTCCTCCTCGTCCTCGCGCGGCCCCCGCAACCGCCCCGAGATGGTGCAAAGCGGCCGAAGACGCCCCCAAAAGGCCTGCAAGAGAGGAGGAGGAGGAGGAGGCCGATGCGAGAGTGAATTGAAGAGGAGGAGGAGAAGAAGGGGGAGTAGGAAAAAGGGGAGGGAGGGACGACGAGTAAGGAGGAGGAGGAAAAACAATCATGAATGGGGAGCATAAATGAAGAGGCGGATGCAGGAGGGGGGATGAGGAGGAATAGGATGAAGAGGAACATGAGGATGAGGAGGACGAAGGAGGAGTGGTGACGAAGAGGAACGATGATGTTGATGCTGATGCTGATGCTGATGCTGATGCTGATGCTGATGCGGCTGCTTCTGCTGCTGCTGCTGCTGATGATGTTGTTGTTGATGTTCTTGATGGTGGTGATGATGACGCTAATGGTTATGGTAATGGGGCGGGGGATCATGAAGATGAGGAGGAGGGTGCGGAGGAGAGGGGGGAATATGGACGGGGAGGGGGAATCTGATGAGGACCTGTCAGGATAATCAGGAACAGGAGAATTTGAGAAAGACGAGAGGGAACAGGTTACATGAGGAGACGGGCGATGCGCAGACATCGTGAAGATACTTTGGTAATGAGAGGTGATAAAGATGAATGCGATTACAGTTGCTATGCATGATTTTAGGGGGCAGTCAGACCTAGCTATAGCGATATATGTGTGTAGAAGTATGTGCAACTATAGATATCCATATATATATATATATATATACTAGTCACCTACTCCTTCGCCCCTCCCTCCCGCCCTCCCTGGTGTGCTGCGTCCTGCGCTGTGCAATCTAGATAGGGCCTGCGGCCAGAAGGGGCTGGTTGGCCTGTGTGGGGTCTTCCGCACGTGATCTGTTTTTGTTGGCCTCGAGGGCCCCTTGGAGTGCCAGGTCAGGTACCGACTTTCTGGGGCCCTCGGGGCCCGCCTGCAGGTCCCGAGCGGGATCGATCGAACAAATGTTGGGGGCTGGACGCCCCACGCTCGCCCGTGTCTGGTTTCTCCTCGTGTCCCGCTGCTGGGTCGGATATTCGCTGTATTCCTTTGATGCCTGACGGCGCCGTGGGAGCCGCCTGCCCCCCTTCAGCTCTGGCACGTGGGATCCTAGGACAGCATAGTTTAAACGTTTGATAAAAGCATCGAGCTTAGTTCCGAAAGTCTCAACTGAAACGCGCAGACCTGCGTTGAGCGCTGTGCGAATTCAACTCTGACACCACCGCCCGCCCCGAATCATGGCTCTCGCGTTGACGCTGGTTTCGCGCCGTGTGCAGCGCGGACGGACTACGCGCTGTTCTTGCTTCCCTACTTTGTTGCGCGCCTTGTGTCCAAGTTGCGGTCGCGGTTACGGCGGGGCCGCTGCGGTGCGGCATGGGCACGATGGCGGCAAGGAAAGCCGGGGAGGGGGGACTGCCCATACCGAAAAGCTAGGCTTGCCTCTTGGAGCTTACCGTCCAGCGCCTGCTTCTCGCTGATGTTGTTGACGGCTCCCGACGCGGGCAAACATCGGCCCGCCTGGAGCCTTTCTCCCTGGCCTTGGCGCGACCTGGGTTGATGGGGCCTGCTTCTAAGAACTGTCCGGTGAAGAGGGTATGCACGTCGGCCAGCGCTGCCAAGGTGTGGTTGCCATGGAAGGCGATGCGCATCCGCTTGGCGATCTTGGTCAGGCCGAGCCTGCCTCTGGCGACGTCGTGAAGGCAACGCGCACCCTCGGTGCCCAACTGGTAGATCGAGCTCTCCGCGTGGTTGGGCTGAGCTGTGGCGTCGATGACCAGGCGCCCGCAGTGCGTGCGGCGGGGCCCAGAACACATCACCACCGGGACGTCCTGGCGTGGGATCTGAGGCATTGACGTTAGGTCGGTCGGGCATGTCCCCCTCCAGGGGGAATTGGGGAGGAAAAATAAAAGTAGTCAAACATATGCAAAAAAAATCCAACAAAAAATGGAAAATCGTTCCCCTATGATTTTTGGATATTCTGCCCGTAGAGGGACAGGCCCGAGTCAACATTGGCGCCGCGCCCTCCGCGCGAGAGCGGGGGGAGGCGCCGTCCGCGCAGCTCTCGCCGCCAGCACCTCTCTGGGCGACGGGCCATCGCCACGGGGGCGCCCTGGCGACCTGCGCCCGAGGCGACGCGCTGGACACGAGCCCGGGCAGCCGGTGCCTCGAGCAGCCCGACCTCCTGGCCCCCGGCCTCTCGACCACTTCCCGGGGGCCAGCGGGGTGTTCATCGCCAGCCTGCTCGTGGACTGCCCTGAGGCCGGGGAAGGGCCCCGAGGAGGCCAGGAGCTGGGAGCAGCCTCCGTCTCGCTGCTCCTCGAGGCGCCGCGTGTCCGGGAGGTCCTCGGGGCGCGGGCGGCCGAGCTCGGCGCGGAGCCTGCCGGGGCGCCGCCGGCAGGCTCCGCGCGGGCCGGCGGCGGCCCTGTCCTGCGAGGCGGGGATTTGTCCCTATCCACCGCCTGGGAACCGACGTCCTAGTGCCCCAGCGGGCGGCGGATATGGAGAGCAGGGCGTTTTGCCAAGCCTTCCCAGCACACCTAGGGCGATCAGGGGGTCATCGGAGACGTCCCAGAGACCCCCAAGACAGCACAAGAGCGCTCCGAGAGTGACCGACGTGACCTCAAGATGGCCCAAAAGGCCTCCAGGACGGCCCCAAAGAGGCCTCCAAGAGCACTCCCAAGAAGGCCCCAAGAGGCACAAATCTTTGATTCTCTGTCGGTTTTTGCTGAATTTGGGGGTTCTCGTCTTTTCGGCTTCCCGACGCTCCAGGACGGCGGTCTTCTGGGCGTCCGAAGCCGCCTGGGAGGCTCCAACATCGCCCCACAACCATCCGAAAGGGCTTCCAGGCAGTCCAAGAGAACCCCAAAACGGCACAACACAGGTCCAAGATGGCCCTCAGAGAGCCACATGGCGGCCCAAGATGGCCCCAAGACATCCTCCGAAGCACTCCAAATCGTGACCCGGTCGTTCACGGAGACCGCGGTTGAAGGCAGGGTGGCCCGAGGAAGTCCCCAGAGGCCCCCGGAATACGCCCAGGAGGCCTCCAGAAGGCCTTACGAAAGCCTGAAACAACTTTTGTGAGGCCCCCAGAGGCTCTCCAAGGAGGATCCTCCGCAAAAAAAGAGCTGAGGAGGATGGGAAGAATGCGCAGGGTACGGCGAAAATAAAGAAAAAGAAATATGGAGGAAGGATAACGAATAACATTATTATAGCGGCGATGCCGGAAAAGACAACAAGGAGATATCTCTAAATTGTCGGCTTGACCTTCCTGCTATTCCGCCTGCACACGAAACTTCAAGGACCAAGGTGCATGGCGCGAAGCGCCACTGCAGTCTTGTGTATATATATATACTAGAACCATTCGCGCGCGCTACGCGCGCGCTCAGGTTCTAGTCCTGGACGTTTCGTGCGTGGCTTCGGGCTCCACAACGAAAGTCCAGAGCGAGCGGCCAACTGTGAATGGGTACATATCGTCCGGCGTCACAAGCACGACGTAGATTGCTGATCATCCGCACGGGCTTTCCAACGTCGTAGATCTGAATACGCGCACCTGGCCCTCGCGGTCATGCACTCACATTTGCTTTCTTTACTTCGGTAGTTCCCATCATTCGTGCTCCCGTTCCCCAGGTTATCCACTTCTCGTCCAGTAATGTTTCCTTCTTCCAGCGCCACTAAAAAGACTTACGGCCAAAGGAAAACGTTGGGCTCTGAACCCTGGAGGGCCGTTTTCGGACCAGGCAGCTGGGACGATCTGTGTTTTTCTATGGCCCTAAGAAGCCTTACGGCCAGAGAAAAAACGCGGGGCGGCCCGGTAAGGGTTATTTTTTCCCGTGGCCCTAAAAAGCCTTGCGTCCGAAGGAAAACGTTGGGCTCGGAGGCCCAAGAGGGCCGCGATCTGTTTTTTTTTATGGCTCTAAGAAGCCTTACGGCGAGAGAACAAACGCTGGGCGGCCCGGTATGGTTTTTCCCGTGGCCCTAAGAGGCCTTACGGCCAAAGGAAAAAGTTGGGCTCCGTGGAGCCGCCGAAGCCCTGCGGAGGGCTGGGGTCCCGCCGACGGTCCGCCGAGGGTCCTTGCGGCGGCGGCGGCCGCGGCGAAAGTGGACACGTTGTCGCCAGCGGCAGCGGCGGCGCCGGGCTCGGCGGCGGCGGCGGCGACGCCGACGAGCGACCACGGCGACGACCGGCGCCGGCCGCCGGGGCTCGCCGGGGAGCCGCCGGAAGTCTCCCTCTGGCCGGAGGTGCGGCGGCGGCGGCGCGCCGCGGCGGCGGGGCCGCCGCCGGCGGGCCCGCCGGCGGCTCGCCGAGAGCGTGGCGGTGGCGGCGTCGGCGGCGGCGAAGCCGACGACGTCGTCGACGGCGACGACGACCACGAATCCCGACGTCGTGATTTTTTCAAAACGGAAGTTTTTCGGCGTGTTCGGCCTCTGGGGCTTCTTGGGGGGGGCCCGGGACAGTCAAAAAACGATTCATGATGATAAGCCGGTCCCCAGGAAAAGGTCGGGATTCAGGGGGCTGCGTACTGGAAAAAAACACGACATCGTTTTGGGGGGAAGGATACCAGAGGGAGGGGTTAGCGGATCGGCTCGTGCAGCTGCTTTTCCCAACGCCTCTCGGCGCCTGGGGAGAATGGACGGTACCAGAGGCGAGGGAGGACGACGAGCGGGGAAGAACAGGAGGACAATAGAGCCTGGGGGGGGTGGAAGGCAGGGACTTCCCACGTCTTTCTTGCCTCGCGGGCCGCATTGCGAGCGGCGGCCGTCCGACGACCGAGGACTCAGACCGCATCTGGGAAAGCGGGAGGGGAAGGGGCGAGGGAAATTATATGATTATTGTAGCCGTCGCTCTGGTAGGTGTCAGCCGAACGCCACGATCCCACGCGCAAGATAGAACTCTTTGGGCAATCATTCATCGTGTTTGCCTGGGCGCGTATGTAGGCAACAACATCGTGTTGCCGCGGCGTGGCATTTAAATTACTGTGGCACTGTGTCAACATAGTGTTGCTCGTCGTGGCATCATAGTGTCGCCGCGACGAGCACTGTAGAGTGTGAGAGCTTGTGGCACACACAGCTGAATGGAGCACCTGGTTCAACACCCGCACAATTCGTAGCAACTCTGCCAGGAAGCACGTTGTCTGAGGCCAGACAGACAGACAGAGATTGGGCAGGATTATATACATACATGATACTGGGCAAAACCCGAATGCAATTTATCGGGGGGGGGCTATGAGGTCAGGGATATAGAGCTATGGGACTATAGGGCCATAAGGCTTTAAGGATATAGGGGGCAGTTGGGTTATAGGGCTGTAGGGCTATTCGACTATAGGGCTGCAAAGCTATTAGGCTATAGGGCTGTTGGGCCATCGGGCTGCAGGGCTATAGAACTATAGGGATATAATGCAGTGGGGCTATTTGGCCATAGAGCTATATGGATATAGGGATATCGGGCTGTAGGGCTACTTGGGCTATATAGCTATGGGTCTAGGGCCATAGAGCTATCGGACTATTTGGCTATAAGGCTATAAGGCAAGGGCTTTCAGGCTATAGGGCGATAGGTTAATGGGACTATAAGGCTATAGGGCGAGTGGTCTGTAGGACTATGGCGCCATATGGCCAATGGGCTACAGGGCTATTGGGCTATATGGTGCTGGGGCTCTAGGGCCATAAGGCTTTAAGGCACATCTCCTGCTCCCACGAGCCCCACCATTCCTCCAAGCCTGTCGCCACCCCCAATGCCCCAGCCCCCCTTCAGAGACTGTCGACGCCAGCCTGCCAATCTCTCCTGGCTAGGAACTTGAGCTTCAAAACTGACCATATGCAGCCGTCTTGATCCGACCCCTACAGCGAAGGATGGAAAGAGAGAGAGAGAGAGAGAGAGAGAGAGAAACGCAAATCGCCTCAGACGTCCGGGACTCCACCAATGCCTCTGCTACTTTATCTGGGAACACGGGACAACCGAGCTGTATGACCAAGCGTTCATCTGACGAGGGACGTCGCGGTTCTCACTGCCGATCTTCCGCGCGCAGGTAGCCTCAGCCCCTAGGATCACGTAGGCGGTTCCGTTTTCAAGTCCCAAGCGAGCCGGGCGGCCCCAGATAGTAATGAAAGCTTTCGTGCCTTCTCCGTCTTGAAATTCGATGCTTCTGCGGTATTCTTTATTGAGCGACGGAGCGCCGTCTTGGCTGACGACTGTGGCCCGGCAATTGAATACCCAGGTCCCCGGGAAAGTGCCTGGGATGTCTCTGAAATTCGTCATCCTGGGCTGGTTCGGGGGGAAGTCGAAGGCGCCGGGGGAGAGAGCGCTCTGCCGCTGCAAGACCCTCACCACGCACGGCTCCCGCCCCCCGTCCGGGCTGTCGTTGAACGCCAGCTCGAATGGGTGCGCAATCGCGGGGTACTGCGGGTGGTCCAGCTTGTACGAAATAGGCTGTGCGCACCGCGGGGGGAGCCTCCGCATGCGTGCGCTGCCCGGAAACCTCACCTGCACAACGTTGCCGAACTGGAATGCTTCCAACGACGCGGGGCCCGCCCGCCACAGCTTGACGATGATGCCGTGGTCCTTGCGGTAGCCGTGCACGATGCCCCGAGGTCCGGGAGTGGATTTGTCCTCCGCGTCGTGGTAGGAGCCGGGGAGGTAGACTCTGAACTGCACGTTTATTGTCTTAGCGGGGATATAGATACATATCCCCCGCAGTCGCGGATAGGAGTGAGGGTAGGCAGACGCGCTTGTGAGAGAAAGAAAGGCCCAGAGCTTCTTGCCCAGGATCCCTCGCCCAGGATCCCTTTTCCCAGGACGCCTGGCCCAGGACACCTCGCCCAGGACACCTCGCCC